ATACACAATGCTTATTACTACATAATACTGATTAAGTATGAAATAAGGTGGCAACACTTTTACCATTCTTGAGTTATGTCCCTTTATAAACATAAAAATTGCTTAATTTTTTAGTTTGTTTCAACCAAATGTTATAAAACTTATACACAACCGTTCTAGAGTTATGCGTGTTTACAAATAGAAAAATTGCTGAATTTTTAGTTTCTGTTCTCTACTTAAGTTAGCCTAAACCAAATGTTATGAGACTTACACACAATGCTTATTACCACAAAACTCAGATCAAGTTCAAATTTGGGTAGCGTCACTTTTACCGTTCTTCAGTTATGTCCCTTTATAACTATATGATATGCAAGCGGGGGCATCATCTGTGTCCACATGTGGACACTATCCACATTTATTTTCTTATTTATATTATTATCATTATATTTCTTATATTTTCTTGTAAGCCACCCAGGGGTAATTATTTAAAATAAATGACTACGGTACTAAACATTAAATCATTTGAAAAAAAATAATTTTGCAATAATTTATGTTGTCATATTAAGATTTCAGTGTATATATATATATCAACAATGAAATTAAGTTGTATAATTGGTGTCACTTTGTTTGTTATTGTGAAGCTAGTATAACAATACTATTGTCTAAATCTACAGAAATTGATCATGTTTAGGTAACAGGATTAACAATGTGATTATGTCACTAGGTCACCTGTAACTTATCTCTTGAATAAGGACTATGTGGCGTATAAGAGCTTGCTTACTACAGGCTCTTCATAATCATTATGCCCCCGCCGTAGCAGAGGGGGCATTAAGTTTTACCCTTGTCCGTCTGTACGTACGTACGTCCCAAAATTGGTTTACGTTCTCTAACTTTAGTTTGCCTCAACCAAATAGTATGAAACATATACACAATGTGTATTACCACTAAACACAGATCAAGTTTGAATTTTGGTGGCGTCACTTTTACCGTTCTAGAGTTATGCCCCTTTACAAATGGAAAAATTGCTGAATTTATCGTTTCCGTTCTCTAACTTTAGTTTGCCTCAACCAAATGTTATGAAACTAATACACAATGCTTATTACCACAAAACACAGATCAAGTATAAATTTTGGTGGCATCACTTATACCGTTCTAGAGTTATGCCCCTTTACAAATGGAAAAATTGCTGAATTTTTCGTTTCCATTCTCTAATTTTAGTTTGCCTTAACCAAATGTTATGAAACTTATACACAGTGCTTATTACCACAAAACACAGATCAAGTTTGAATTTTGGTGGCGTCACTTTAACCATTCTAGAGTTATGCCCCTTTATAAATGGAAAAATTGCAACATTTTTATTTTCTCCTAATCAAGTAATTTTTAAAATTGGAGTTATCTTCCTTTGTCCATGATTATAGTTGAATCAACTACAATCAATGCTTTATACAATGCAATGTTTAATTTTGACTTCCACTGATAAAACACAGATCAAGTTGAATTTGGGTAGTGTCACTTTAACCATTATTGAGTTATGCCCCTTTATAAATCGAAAAATTGCAAAATTTTTAGTTTCCATTCTGTAACTTTAGTTTGCCCCAACCAAACATTATGAAACCTATACACAATATTCATTACCACAAAACTAAGATCAAGTACAAATTTTTTGTTTCCATTTTCTAACTTTAGTTTGCCTCAACCTAATGTTATGAAACTTATACACAATGCTTATTACTACATAATACAGATATGTACGAAATTTGGTGGCAACACTTTTACCATTCTTGAGTTATGTCCCTTTATAAACATAAAAATTGCTGAATTTTTCGTTTCTGTTCTCTAACTTTAGTTTGTCTCAACCAAATGTTATAAAAGTCATACACAATCGTTCTAGAGTTATGCGTGTTTACAAATAGAAAAATTGCTGAATTTTTAGTTTCTGTTCTCTACTTAAGTTAGCCTCAACCAAATGTTATGAGACTTACACACAATGCTTATTTCCACAAAACTTAGATCAAGTTCAAATTTGGGTAGTGTCACTTTTACCATTCTTCAGTTATGTCCCTTTATAACTATATGATATGCAAGCGGGGGCATCATCTGTGTCCACATGTGGACACTATCCACATTTATTTTTCATTTTTTTTGTAAAAAAATTTGAAGAACTTCATAGAAGGTTTGTTTGTTATTCTGTATAAATTAATTTTCAGAATGCTATATTTAAATATATTTATTTCTTTGATGAAGATCCCCTTTAAAAACTAAGTTAATATTGTCCATCAATAAATAGATAAATTAAATTCTTGATGTACTTGGATATGCTGAATCTAACCGTGTATTTAGATTTTGGATATTGGACCATAATATGTAAAAATCCAATTTCAAATTTCTCAGTTCTTTGATCACATTCATTCTGTGTCAGAAACCTATGCTGTGTCAAATATTTAATCACAATCCCAATTCAGAGCTGTATCAAGCTTGAATGCAGTGTCCATACTTGCCCCATCTGTTCAGGGTTTCAACCTCTGCGGTCGTATCAAGCTGTGCCCAGTGGAGCATTTTATTTCATTTAAAATGAGTAATAGGTCGACTACTATATCTGGTATATTGAATCATTGCATGGTATACATATGCATCTGACGATTCACCTTGTTTTCATGGTTTATTGCTGGGTCACAAATTTTTGTGATCAGATATGTTACTCAGATACTATAGGTAATAGGTTCAACTACTGTGGATTCATTATTATTCATGGGATACCAATTTTTCGTGGATTTAGTGGATAAAGGGGAACCACGAATTTAAATGTTCAACAAAGTACAAATCTTCTATAGGCTTGTATGCATACTTTGACAAAATAAAATATCCAGAAAATACAATTTTTCCTCAATTCACGAAAAATTGGTACACTCGAAAATCAGTGAATCGACAGTATATTGGATATATAAAATGATTTAAGATATACATGTATGTCCGATAAGGTTAATCTGACCATGGCTTAATTCTCTTGGTTCATTTGGTGATTATGACTTTCTCGGGTACTATTTCTTATGGCTTATTTATTTTGGGTGTAAAGAACGATTGTAAGATGTACATAAAAATGAGAATGGAAATGGGGAATATGTCAAAGAGACAACAACCCGACCAAAGAGCAGACAAAAGCCGAAGGCCACCAATGGGTCTTCAATGTATGTCTGTCTGACTGTGTTCATCTGACATTTACCTTATTTTCATGGTTTTTTTGTCAACTTTAAGTTTTCATTATTATATAAGTTTCTCATATACTATAAGTAATTGGTCAACTATGTTGAGTGCATAGAATGATTGTAAGGTGTACAGATAAGATAAGATAAGATATTTTATTGGTTTAAAATCCAAAAAATTTAAATCTTGCTTCATTAGTCATATTTAAAAAAGAGGGAACTATTTCACTAATTTTATAAAATAATTGTTCTCTAATTGTATTTAGTTTTGTACATTTTATAGTGAAATGAAATTTATCTTCTACTTCTAAATGACAAAGGGACAAATCCTTTCTTCTAAAGGAGTTTTAGTATGTCGACCTTGTTCAATTTTAAGAACACTATTACTTATGCAAATTTTGGCAAAATATCCTATTACTATTTTGTCAATGCTTAACATTAAATAGGTTTCCAATTTGTAATTTTCTTTTAAGCGATCTATAGGTTCTGAGTTTATTACCGTTCAATGATTTGTCATCACGAAAAGTATTTTCTTTCCAATAATTCAGATATCTATCTTTAAGTTTGGTATAAAGTGCGAACATTTAAGGTGTACATGTCCATCTGGCAGGGTTTATCTGACCATAAACTTATTTTCATGGATCTTTGAAAATTATTAGTTTCTTTTATACTTTTATTAAGACCTTTGTTTGTGAACTGGGCAAAGTGAATTATTGTTTTCAGGGAAACATAATATAACAACAAATGAATTACCCATGAAGCAAAATAGTTCTTTCTGAACATCTTGGAAGGGAGGATATTTAAGAATGGAGCAAGCTCTTATTCCCTATAATTGATAACAGACAGATAACTGATTTTTGTCGAGCCTGCGACTTTTGTCACAGAAAGCTCGACATAGGGATAGTGATCCGGCGAAGGCGTTAGCTAACTTCTTAAAAGCTTTATATTTTAGAAGGTAGAAGACATGGATACTTCATACTTTGTATATGGATGCCTCATGTTACGAAGTTTCCGTCAGTCACATGTCCAATGTCCTTGACCTCATTTTCATGGTTCAGTGACTACTTGAAAAAAAAGTTAAGATTTTTTGTAATGTCAAATTCTCTCTTATTATAAGTAATAGGATAACTATATTTGTTATGTGCGTACCTTGCAAGGTCCTCATGCCCGTCAGACAGTTTTCACTTGACCTAGACCTCATTTCATGGATCAGTGAACAAGGTTAAGTTTTGGTGGTCAAGTCCATATCTCAGATACTATAAGCAATAGGTCTAGTATATTCGGTGTATGGAAGGACTGTAAGGTGTACATGTCCAACTGGCAGGTGTCATCTGACCTTGACCTCATTTTCATGGTTCAGTGGTTATAGTTAAGTTTTTGTGTTTTGGTCTGTTTTTCTTATACTGTATCCAATAGGTCTACTATATTTGGTGTATGGAAATATTTTATGATCTATATGGCAGTCACACAGGTTTTATTTGACCTTGACCTCAATTTCAAGGTTCATTGTTCAGTGTTAAGTTTTTGTGTTTTGGTCTGTTTTTCTTAAACTATAAGCAATAGGTCAACTATATTTGTTGTATGGAAGAATTGTTAGCTGTACATGCCTGCCTAGCATGGTTCATCTGACCTTGACCTCATTTTCATGGTTCATTGGTCAATGTTTAGTTTACTTGGTTAATGTTAAGTTTATGTGACAGTTGTAATAAAGCTTTATATTTAGGACTATCAACATAATATCAATGATTAGTAAAGAAGGCGAGACATTTCAGCGTGTGCACTCTTGTAATAGTTCTCATTTGAAATGTATTTTGTTTGCAGATTTAAGCAACAGATCCGTGACAAAATGGATGATATCTTACCATCATTTGAAACTCTGCTGGTAAGTAAGGTTGTGCATATTCTATTTGAATAAATGTAAATAATTTAGAGTAAATATTTAGCGTGTTATTGATGATGCATTTTTACATCTTCATCTTATTATCTTCAATTTGAACTTGCAGGGCCGTAAATAATAACTGCTTTCTACATAACTGATAATTTTATTTATTATACCAAATTCACATTCTAATATAAAGTTTGGTGAAGATATTTTGAGCATTGTTAGTTTATTACCATCATGTGTGAAAGTCCTAATTTCTTTCTTATTAACTGTAAAATGTATTTTCACGTACCCGGAGAAATGATTTAGCTAGTGTTCGAACTTGGACATAGTCTTTACAAAGTCACAGTTTTCAGATTCAAGTTATATGATATATGGACTGTGGTCTTGCCCAAGTAAGAACTTTTTTATATAAAATTTTGAATGCACTTGGAACTCATTGAACTGCATATGAATATCTAAAAAGTGAAATGTGTATATTTGGAGAGACAATATCAAAGAAAACATTTTGAAAAGGATCTGTAAAGGTATAGAATGAACATAAAAAAACGTTGATAAAATACATTGTATGCACCTTGAATTTCTCGAAATTCCAGCCACAGAATTCCACGGATTCGTTTTCAAGTTCAGTAAAAATTCAATTACAGATGTCGTTATATAAAGTGACAAAAGCGTTGAAAAACAAAATAAGTGTAACGTCATGCTGCAATATCGTAATTTATCATATTTTTTCATACATCACTCAAACTTTCAAATGATTTTAAAAGATTGCAAAAACGATCTGGTGACCCCTGATATTTTCATATCATTAAACCTGTAAACCAAAAATGTTCACAGCAATAACATATAATTTAAAACAAATTATGTTGACGAAATTATGAGAAATCTCAATTCTAATCGAATAAAATGCATTTTTTTTCGTCGCTTTTTACCTCTTAATTTCTAGGTTCTCTATTAGAGACATACAATAAATACCTCTGGTTCTATTTATAAAGTTTTGAACAGATTGTATCTCTAGAATATATATGTTAATGATACATGAACCATTTGTTCAATATTCAGATGATTCGTTCAACAAGATTTAAATGCATTCCAAATTTCGTAAAAAGCAGGACATACGATACAGTTTTGATCCCATGGTGAATTTTTGACGAAAACTACTTACCTAGTCAATTCAAATATGTAATAAAAAATATACCTTCATGTGCTACTTTTAGAGATAAATGGAGTGGAAATTTTAGACCATTACTGGAAATTTCAGTTTCTTGGACCTTTCTATCCTTTGGAAAGATATACTTAACTTTTTTGCTTCAAAAGATAAACGCAAGTGGATTTTTGTAAAAGCATCTGCATGGAATATCTTCTCTACATAAGCGTGATTTGAATTTGTGTAACAATTTTTGGGAAATTATCCATTTTTATCACACTTAATTGATTTTAGTCAAAGAACGGCATCTTTTGCTATATATTTATCTAATTTAAAAAACTTTCATCGGTGAATTGTTCATAAAAATTGACACAAATAATCTTCATACATAATCAAGCCAAATGCCATTTTTAAAAGAGGGGTCCATGAACTTGTTTTCAAGTTAAATCAGTCGAAAATGCATTTTTTCCTGATAAGTCACAGTTTGATGTTGTGAAAAATAACATTTTACTTAAGCAACATCATTACCTCCCCTGTTACTGTATCGTATGCCCTTTTAAAGGGCATAAGATACAGTATGAAGATTATTTGTGCCAATTTTTATGAGCAAATCACTGATGGATTTTTTAAAAACTAGATAAATATACAGGAAAAAATGCTGTGTTTTTACTAAAGTCATGAAAATGTGATAAAAACAAATTATTTCCAAAGCATTGTTATACAAATTCAAATCATACTTTTGTAAACAAGATATTCCGAATGTTGTTACAAAAATCCCCTTGCTTTTATCTTTTGAAACAAAAAAGGATAGAAATGTCCAAGAAACAGAAATTTCAAGTAAATGTCTAAAATTTCGACCCAATTTATCTCTAAAAGTAGCACATGAAGGTATATTTTTTATTACATATTTGAATTGACTAGGTGAAAATTAGCTTGTATGCAAACTTTTGTCAAAAATTCACTGTGGAATCAAAACTGCATCGTATGCCCTTAAGGATTACTCAGGTTCCGTTTATGAATTTTTGTCAAATGTTCAGACTCCTTGGGTTTTTTCCTACGCTACAGGGTAAAATATTTTGCCCCATATCACCCATTTTTCTTTTCATAGAAGACTTCAACAGCTCATAAAAAAGTCATTACCAAAATTTAAGCAGATTCTAGATTTTTTTTCTTATGATTTGAGTCCCAAATAATGCCAATGCTAACATTAAGGTAAAAGTCTGAGTCAGCCTTTTCCTGCCATTAAAAAAAAATCAAATATCTCAAAAAGGAGTTCCATAACCTCTCAATATTTTTAGCTTAATTTGTTCCTTAACTAATGCTCTTCTGACTTATAGTATCAATTTTAAATTCCACATTTTTTTCATTTCACCTAACTACATCCTTAAGGGCATAAGATACAATTACAGGGGAGGTAATGATGCTGCTAACGTAAAATGTTATTTTTTTTGCGACGTCAAACTGTGACATATCAGGAAATGATGCATTTTTCGACTGATTTTTATTATTGTTATGGGGCACGATAGATATTCTATGGTGTCAGGGTAAGAACTCTCAAATAATATATCAATTTTTTTTTTCGAATATTTTTTTTATGGTCGGCTTGCAATAGGAGGCAACTGCCTACATGCCTCCACATAATTTACGGCCCTGACTTGTTTAGGCATAATGGAGGGGTATTTGTAAGCTCCTTGTTTTCAGTTCTTCATTGTTACCCTCTATTATTTTGAAACTATAACAGAGAGAAATTTTTAAAATGATCCACAAGGCAAGACATACAAGTTGCTGAAATTGTTGGACAACTCTTTAAATTTTGCCTTTTATCTTGAAAACTATAATAGATAGATAGAAGTTTCAATAGCAAAAAATGCAGCAGGACAAGATCTCAAACAATTCAGTGTAGATAAAATTGTCAATTGTCGCCTCATAGGAGTTAATGCCCTTAAATGACAATCTGACTCTTTCTTTGTGTTTTGGGCATAAACTATAGAAACTGGAGAGAAACTATAGGTTGCACTTCTGTAAAAATAGACAATGCAATTTCCCATAGGAACTCTCTTTACAGCTAAAACTGTGCTACTTTTACTATGAAGTTTCGAAAAAAATAGAACGGAAAGTTGATATGCACTACTATTTTATTCAAAGGTCAAAACATAGGGCTGTGCGGCATATTTTCAACATTTATATGCCCTGAACTTCTAAGAGTTTAAACTTATACTAAACTTCTGTACTACCCCTCCCTTCACTTAGCGTCTTCCTCAGAATTCAATTTCGGCTATCCATGTGTTTTTATACTGGTAACATTCCGAAGTTATGTCTATGAGATGAAACACAGAGATCATATCTGGGAACCAGTACGTAAACAAAACAAAATATCTATGAATATTATATATCTCCCCAAAAGAGGCGTGGTTTGTGAAACAGCTGTATTTACAAAGTGCAATCTATACACAGAAACAATTATCAGCAATACAAGATCAACAAAAAGGAGATTTTAATCTTTATATTCTTGTCTACATTATTACCTGTGTCGCTGAAGGCAAAAGCAGGTCTAGTAACGGCTCAACTCTGTCCATCCCTCTAAAAGACTTTGGGTAGAAAACTTTCTTCAAAGTTTTGTTGGCTTCTATGAAAGGGACTGATTTAATATTTGGTCTGCCGCTTGATAATGTTGAGTTGTAGCGAGTAAGCAATTTTTACATCCGCTGTGCAGCCACTTCCTGTTTGCGGATAGTTTAAAATTTTACAGCACTCATTGTACAAGAAAAATTTCGTCACAATTTTCTGTCTTTAAAGAAAGGGAATGCTTCAGTATACATGTAATCTCCAGTATTGTCTTGTTGGAGAATGTCCATTGTTGATGATGCACAAATATAAAAGAGGGACGAAAGATACCAGAGGGACAGTCAAACTCATAGATCGAAAACAAACTGACAACGCCATGGCCAAAAATAAAAAAGACAAACAGACAAATAATAGTACAGATGACACAACATGGAAAACTAAAGACTAAGCAACACGAACCCCACCAAAAACTGGGGGTGATCTAAGGTGCTCCGGAAGGGTAAGCAGATCCTGCTCCACATGTGGCACCCGTCGTGTTGCTTATGTTATTACAAATCCAAACTAGGTGAGGGACTCATAAAGTTTAATTTTGCATTGCATATTTCCTTTTGGCCTTTAAGGAATGCATTTAAGGAATGTTGTAAAAAATGCTAAAATTGCCATTTTTTTTACCACAGAACTCCACAATGTTACCCTAGAACTCTTGTCATATACCACAGAACACCTAAAATAATGACTAATTTGCCTGAAAGTATTTCACAAAATGCAAAAATTAATTAGTGGAAAACAGTAGATTTACAATGGTTTTACAGAATATGATATACAAAACAGAACACCATAGATATAGTTTATTTTGCCATTTGTGTCGCACAAAATAAACATATTTCAATTAGAAGTCTCAAATTTATTGAGAAATAAATGGGGAATGTGTCCATGGGACACAGATGATGCCCCGCTTGCATATTATATAAAGTTATAAAGGGACATAACTGAAGAACGGTAAAAGTGACACTACCCAAATTTGTACTTGATCTGAGTTTTGTGGTAATAGGTATTGTGTATAAGTTTCATAACATTTGGTTGAGGCAAACTTAAGTAAGAGAATGGAAATGAAAAATTCAGCAATTTTTCCATTTGTAAAGGGGCATAACTCAAGAACAGTAAAAGTGACACCACCAAACATTCAAACATGATATGTATTTTGTTGTAATAAGCATTGTTTATAAGTTTCATAACATTTGGTTGAAGCTGACTTAAGTTAGAGATAGGAAACGAAAAAATTCAGCAATTTTTCCATTTGTAAAGGGGCATAACTCTAGAACAGTTAAAGTGACACCACCAAAATTCAAAATTAATCTGTATTTTGTTGTAATAAGCATTGTGTATAAGTTTCATAACATTTGGTTGAGGCAAACTAAAGTTAGAGAACAGAAACTAAAAAATCAGCAATTTTTCCATTTGTAAAGGGGCATAACTCTAGAACAGTTAAAGTGACACCACCAAATTTCAAATTTAATCTGTGTTTTGTGGTAATATGCATTGTGTATAAGTTTCATAACATTTGTTTGAGGTAAACTAAAGTTAGAGAACAGAAACTTAAAAATCAGCAATTTTTTATGGTATGACGTTGGCGTCGTCGTCGTCGTCCGAAGACACATTGGTTTTCGCACTCTAACTTTAGTTTAAGTGAATGGATCTCTATGAAATTTTACCATAAGGTTCAATACCACAAAAGGAAGGTTGGGATTGATTTTGGGGGTTGTGGTACCAACAGTTAAGGAATTAGGGGCCAAAAAGGGGCCAAAAATAAGCATTTTTGTAACTTCCAGACATAACTTGTGTGTTAGTGTATGGTTCTCTCTGGCATTGTACCACAAGGTTCCATATCACACAGGGAATGCTGGGATTGATTTTGGGGGTAATTGCCTCAGAATATTAGGAATTAGGGGCCAAAAAAGGGGCAAAAAACAAGCATTTTTCTTATTTCATGACAATAACTTGTAAGTGTATGGATCTTTCTGAAATTGTACTACAAGGTTCCATATCACAAAGGGAAAGCTGGAATTGAGTTTGGGGGTAATTGCCCAAAACGTTTAGGAATAAGGGGCCAAAAAGGGGCCAAAAATAAGCATTTTTCTAGTTTCCAGACAATAACTTGTGTTCAAGTGTATGGATCTCTCTACTGCAAGGTACCATACCACAAAGAGAAGGCTGGGATTGAGTTTGAGGGTGATGAATCATAAGGGGGTTTAAAAAAATTTGGGGGGGGGGATTTTTTTTTTTTTCCTTTTTTTTCTTTTTTTCCTTTTTTTTTCTTTTAAAATTTTCCATTTTAAGTTGGTTATTTCTGTTTTATATTTAAAAGCAAATAATAATGATATGGTAGGAGATACACACCAAACAGGATGTGTAAATTATTATATAATAAGTATTGTGCAATAGCAAGAAATTTTCAATTGCACAGTATTGCACAATAGCAAGAAATCTTCAATTGCACAGTATTGCGCAATAGCAAGAAATCTTCAATTGCACAGTATTGTGCAATAGCAAGAAATATCCAATAGCACAATATTGCGCAATAGCAAGATATTGTCAATTGTACAGTATTGCGCAATAGCAAGAAATATTCAATTGCACAGTATTGTGCAAAAGAAGATACTTCGTATAAATTGCTTATTTCTTGACCAATTTCAATGGGGTTTTATTCTTGAATTCTTGGGGTTCTTTAATATGCTGATTCTAACCGTGTGTTAAGTTTTTGGATTTTGGGCCCCGTTTTTAAATTGGTCCACATTGAGGTCCAAAGGGTCCAAAATTAAATTTTGTTTGATTTCATCAAAAATTGAATTATTGGGGTTCTTTGATATGCCGAATCTAACCGTGTATTTAGATTCTTAATTTTTGGTTCCGTTTTCAAATTGGTCTACATTAAGGTCCAAAGGGTCCAAAATTAAACTTAGTTTGATTTTAACAAAAATTGAATTCTTAAGGTTCTTTGATATGCTGAATCTAAACAAGTATTTAGATTTTTGATTATGGGCCCAGTTTTCAAGTTGGTCTAAATCGGGGTCCAAAATTAAACTTTGTTTGATTTCAACAAAAATTGAATATATGGGGTTCTTTGATATGCTGAATCTAACCATGTATTTAGATTTTTGATTTTTGGGCCCCATTATCAACTTTGTCCACATTGAGGTCAACAGGGTCCAAAATTAAACTTTGTTTGATTTCATTAAAAATTGAATTCTTGGGGTTCTTTGATATGCTGAATCTAACCATGTATTTAGATTTTGGATATTGGACCATAATAGGTGAATGTCCAATTTAAAATTTTTAAGTTCTTAGACCACATTCATTCTGTGTCAGAAACCTATGCTGTGTCAAATATTTAATCACAATCCAAATTCAGAGCTGTATCAAGCTTGAATGTTGTGTCCATACTTGCCCAAACTGTTCAGGGTTCGACCTCTGCGGTCGTATCAAGCGATCCCTGCGGAGCATTTTAATCCATTTGTTAAGGGGCATAACTCTAGAACAGTTAAAGTGACACCACCAAAATTCAAATTTAATCTGTGTTTTGTGGTAATATGCATTGTGTATAAGTTTCATAACATTTGGTTGAGGCAAACTAAAGTTAGAGAACGGAAACTAAAAATTCAGCAATTTTCCATTTGAAAAGGGGCATTTCTCTAGAACAGTTAAAGTGACACTACCAAAATTCAAACTTGAGCTGTATTTTGTGGTAATAAGCATTGTGTATAAGTTTTATAACATTTGTTTGAAGCAAACTAAAGTTAGAGAACAGAAACGAAAAATTCAGCAATTTTTCCATTTGTAAAGGGGCATAACTCTAGAACTGTTAAAGTGACACACCAAAATTCAAACTTGATCTGTGTTTTGTGGTAATAAGCATATTGTATAAGTTTCATAACATTTGGTTGAAACAAACTAAAGTTAGAGAATGGAAACCAACTTTGGGACGTACCTACGGACAGACGGACATGGGTTAAACTTAATGCCCCCTCCAGTAGGGCAGGGGCATTAAAAGTGGACTTTTTAAAAAGAAAATCCCTTATTTTATCCAAATCTCCAGAAATATACTTCTATTAAATTGTTGTATTCTTGTACTCTAAATCACTGAAAGCTTTTCCATATGCAGTGACCTTATCATTACACCCCTCAGTATAAATTCAGCATTTGGACAGCCCAAGTGCAAAGGGAAAAACAGTGATGAAAGAAAAAATAAACAAATGTGGAAGGAATATAGTATTAACCAATTCTGAAGGAGAAATTTTGATACACCAAATCATTTAACAACTGTATCAGCATATCCTTTTCATTTTTCAATAGAATATTTTTGCAATTTCAGGTGCCAAATTAGTACCAATTATCAGCTTGTGTGCATATTGATATTGTAAAATATCAGCTGTGAGTCACAATATGAAGCTTTTTGTCGAGTGAGTGCAGCGAACAAGTTCAAAAAGGCTTCATATTGTGTCAAACAGCAGATATTTTACAATATAAATATGATGAAAATCTGAAAATCGATTTATCGGAATGTATTTGTGTATTTTTTCTGATAGAAACAAGTGTTTCTCTTTGGTCAACCAGCAATCCAGAAGATGACTTGATAAGTTCGAGTCAAAGTTATCAAGGTCAGTTCATTCATTATGACGTCAGTGATATGTCCGGGTCAAAGTTGTTTAGGCAGAGTTAATGTATTTGACTTCACAAAGCCATGATTTGCAATTTTATGAAGAGCTTAGCAGAGTTATACAGACAGTGGGAACACCGATACTGGCTCTTACCATACCTCCTCCTTTATTACCTATTTATTATGTTATATAGTTGAAGATTCTAATTTGGTTTCTGTATTTGTAATTTGTTTTATGTATTAGTAATTTGTTTCTGTATTTGGGTACTGGTATGTGAGAACTCTTTGGTTTCAGTATGTAGAGTTTAAGGGAGATGAAGTTTAATTATTTTCTGCATTTAGGGTTCTTTAGAGGAACTTATAGCAGAACAGTTGTTAAATTATCAACATCTGAAGATATATGGAGGTGGTATAGAGAATGTATATGAGTCCCAAGCTTGAATAAAATATCAAATTATATGTTAACATATCTATTCAAGTAAGTGATGAAAGTTGTCTGATATTGGATTAAGTCTGAATTAAGGAATTGTTTATTCAATATTTTTATGTTTCATTTGTGCTTCTTTTGTAGAAAGATAATTCAAGTGTTTTACATGTCCTTCCCTCCTGCATTTCAACAGTGATGAACCTATGCTATGACCCTCATATTCGACTTAAAATCTTGAACAGGAATGAGATGTGGAAAGCTAATGTAGACTTATTGGTAAGCATTGCAATTATCAAGAAACACTTATAAAGTTTATAGTGTTATTTAAAGTTCTCTTTTAGCACAAAATTGGAATATTATACTTTTGTTTTTTAGAATATCACAATATCAACAATAACTTTGCTATATATTTTCAACGATTAAGGAAATCAATTAAAATGTAGACAATCTTTTTTGGAAAGATTGGAATATATTCCAATTTTTTCCTACGGCATCAACTTAAAAACTAGGATGTTGTATTTACATACACTGAAATATAGTTTTCAATGTAGAAACCATATGTACAAAGGAACTGTGAAAAAGTTATGGGTAATATCTTTGTATGTTTGTCCTTTGTTTTGTCAGTTTACTTGCAAGTTTGACCCTTTATTGGAAAGACCTTTTGATTGTGTTCTAATTTTTTTTATTTTTGTACCATAAAACTTAAGTTTACCAAACTTGGTAGGCAGTTGCATCATATGGGCTTCGGGTGTTTCATATACCAAAGTCAGGTCTCTCTGATCTTTGACCACTATGATAGTTAAACCTTGTCTGATTTGTGTCCTGCGCATAACTTTTTTACCATAAAACATCTAGGTTGACCAAACTTGGTATGCTGATACATCAAGGGATGGGATATATCAAAGCCACTCTGATCTTGAAATTGACCTTTGACCCCTATGATAGTAACACATTGTACTGTAGCACTTAGATTGACAAAACTGTGTATGCAGAAGCATCATACTGACCTTGACATTGACCTTTAATTTCTGAATTTACAGTATACAAACCTCAGAATTTGTTCCTGGGTCAGTATAACTCTTTCAGATTGACCTATCAGTAACCATGTGTCAATCTAACACAGAGGCAATAATTATATAAAATGTATGGCTGAAAACCAAAAATCTCAAAACGTCATTGCCTCATTACAGTACTTAATTTCACAGCAGAAACTAAAATGCATGTACGGAGGTATTAGTTCCGCTATGTGGACAGCTCTAGTTATTTTTGTTTATCCTTTCACCTTTTTTCTTCTTAAATGTTGCTTTTTGTTTCGCAACATGTTTTGGTGCATTTTACAAAGCAAATCATTTACCCTGCCATATCTATTCAAAATTGGGAGGATGGCAAGGATATGAATTCTGAGCTCTGTTCGAGTAATTAAAGCCAAGTTGTGTCCAAAACAGAAATTGATTTTAAACTGTATATCAGAGTACTTTTCACAATTTAAGTTTCAACCATGAATATGGGTCCAATTAATATTTTATTTTATTTTATCTAAACATTGAACTTAAAAAGTGTCAAACTTTTTAATGCCTCCACTATAATTATTTTTAAATAGTTACTTATATGTTTATATAAGTTATGTTTATACAAATATAGTTTGATTTCCATTACACTCAGTAGTCATTATTTTAGGATTTTCCCAGGATTTTTGTTTTCTTTACTATTGAGAAGAAACAGATTTATTATCATATCTTAATCAGCTTCATGTGAGTTTATCAGGTGTTCTTAGCAGGGGTTTAACTACATCAGTTCCATTACAAATATACATGTTTTGTTAATTAGTGACCACTTGTGGCATCTGGCTTTCCTTTATCCTTTGTTTGTTTGCACATAAACTTGGGTGTAGTTTAGCTCCTTCCATTTAGGAATATCCCATTAAGTAGTTGTATATTGAAAACCAGTACATGCTGCCTTTAGTGTCCAGTTTTTATACGACCGCAAAAATTAAAAATTTTTTGGTCGTATATTGGTATGACGTTGTCGTCGTCGTCGTCGTCGTCTGGCGTCGTCCGGCGTCGTCCGAAGACACATTGGTTTTCGCACTCTAACTTTAGTTTAAGTGAATGGATCTCCATGAAATTTAACCATAAGGTTCTATACCACGAAAGGAAGGTTGGGATTGATTTTGGGGGTTATGGTACCAACAGTTAAGGAATTAGGGGCCAAAAAGGGGCCAAAAATAAGCATTTTTGTAACTTCCAGACAATAACTTGTGTGTAAGTGTATGGATCTCTCTGACATTGTACCACAAGGTTCCATATCACAAAGGGAAGGCTGTTATTGATTTTGGGGGTAATTGCCTCAAAATTTTAGGAATTAGGGGCCAAAAAAGGGGCAAAAAACAAGCATTTTTCTAGTTTCATGACAATAACTTGTGTGTAAGCGTTTGGATATTTCTGAAATTGTACTACAAGGTTCCATATCACAAAGGGAAAGCTGGAATTGAGTTTTGGGGTAATTGCCCGAAACGTTTAGGAATTGGGGGCCAAAAAGGGGCCAAAAATAAGCATTTTTCTAGTTTCCAGACAATAACTTGTGTTCAAGTGTATGGATCTCTCTGAAATTGTACTGCAAGGTACCATACCACAAAGGGAAGGCTGGGATTGAGTTTGGGGGTGATGAATCATAAGGGGGTTCAAAAATTTTAGGGGGGGGGAGGGGGGATTTTTTTTTTTTTTTTAAATTTTCCATGTTAAGTTGGTTATTTCTGATTTATATTTAAAAGCAAATAATAATGATATGGTAGGAGATACACACCAAACAGGATATGTAAATTATTATATAATAAGTATTGTGCAATAGCAAGAAATTTTCAATTGCACAGTATTGCACAATAGCAAGAAATCTTCAATTACACAGATTTGCGCAATAGCAAGAAATCTTCAATTGCACAGTATTGCGCAATAGCAAGAAATATCCAATAGCACAATATTGCGCAATAGCAAGAAATTGTCAATTGTACAGTATTGCGCAATAGCAAGAAATATTCAATTGCACAGTATTGTGCAAAAGAAGATACTTTGTATAAATTGCTTATTTCTTGATCAATTTCAATGGGGTTTTATTCTTGAATTCTTGGGGTTCTTTAATATGCTGAATCTAACCGTGTATTAAGTTTTTGGATTTTGGGCCCCGTTTTTAAATTGGTCCACATTGAGGTCCAAAGGGTCCAAAATTTAACTTTGTTTGATTTCATCAAAAATTGAATTATTGGGGTTCTTTGATATGCCGAATCTAACCGTGTATTTAGATTCTTAATTTTTGGTTCCGTTTTCAAATTGGTCTACATTAAAGGTCCAAAGGGTCCAAAATTTAACTTAGTTTGATTTTAACAAAAATTGAATTTTTAGGGTTCTTTGATATGCTGAATCTAAACATGTATTTAGATTTTTGATTATGGGCCCAGTTTTCAAGTTGGTCAAAATCGGGGTCCAAAATTAAACTTTGTTTGATTTCAACAAAAATTGAATATATGGGGTTCTTTGATATGCTGAATCTAACCATGTATTTAGATTTTTGATTTTTGGGCCCCGTTATCAACTTTGTCCACATTGAGGTCAAAAGGGTCCAAAATTATACTATGTTTGATTTCATCAAAAATTGAATTCTTGGGGTTCTTTGATATGCTGAATCTAACCATGTATTTAGATTTTGGATATTGGACCATAATAGGTGAATGTCCAATTTAAAATTTTTAAGTTCTTTTCATTCTGTGTCAGAAACCTATGCTGTGTCAAATATTTAATCACAATCCAAATTCAGAGCTGTATCAAGCTTGAATGTTGTGTCCATACTTGCCCCAACTGTTCAGGGTTCGACCTCTGCGGTCGTATCAAGCTGCGCCCTGCGGAGCATTTTATTTCAATGCATATTAAGCAGTTAAAAGAATAATTTTTGCTCAAAAAGTGGCTTAGCTAAAAACTTGCCACCCACCAACCCCAACCTTACACCTTCAATATTGCCATGACAGGGGAATCAATCTCAGCACAGTTTATATAAGATTCTAATTGATTTTTCTGTATATGTATATGTTACAAAATAGCTTAAAAATTTCATTCCAACACCATTTCATATCAGTAGATCTCAGCAAGCAGTAGTGCAAAAATTTATTTTTAAGAGCTATGTTGGATTGGTGTGATGTCAATCCAGGGGTCTATACTTTGCTACTTTTCAGTACGCACATGTACATAGGCTGCTGGTTTAGGCATGGATCAGATAAATAACCTCAGCATCTGAAGCAAGTCCATCATGTCTGGACATTTATGAAATTTTATCACTGGTTGTTTCAAGAATTTCACTCATCCCCCAAGAATTTCTGGGGATAAACTGTCAAATTTCATACAAATTCATTCCAACACCAATTCAACATCAACACTACTTGGCTTCCTCATAGCCACATACTAGCCTAGGCTTCCTCATAGCATCATTATAGGCTTCCTCATAGCCTCATAGTCTTCCTCAGACATAGCCTCATAGGCTTTCTTATAGCCTCATAGGCTTCCTGATAGCCTCATATGCTTCCTGATAGCCTCACGCATTTATTTGGAACCATAGTTCCAATTGGATTGGTGTGATGTCAAGCGAGGGGTCTTTACTTTGCTACTTTTCAGTACGCACATAGGCTCTTGGCTTAGGCATGGAGCAAGATTTTAATTTTAGCTGAGTAGATTCCCCAAGGGCCAAAATTAAGTGATGAATATAAAATAATAAAAGTAATAGTTCATTTATGATTTATGTTTCATTCAAACCTGGATACAACTGCCACTGCTACGCAATACATGTATTTACACAGAAGTTTATTTATAATAGAATAGAGCGGATTTTGAATTATTTTGATTATATTGTTGATATGAGTACTAAATGCTTAATTTTACATATCATGAGTTCAAATGGAGAGTTCTGAAGCAAATCAGGATAATTAATATGTTGCTTAAATTAATTGTCTTAAGAACTTATTATGTGTGACTTTGAGGATTTTGTACATTGGGCACATATTTCAGCAAGTTAGACTTACTCAGACAGGTTTTTAATGTCAGGTCAAAAGATTTTTGCAAGGAGGTAACTGTTTTTCTGGATGTTTACTCAGGTGTAATATACTTTTCATTATTACAAAACACACATCCACTGACCAAAGGAGAAATATGTACAGTATAAACAACAGACACTTATAAATATTAAATACAACATGACAACAAATTATGAATGGACCTTTAGTATATCTACAATCCAGA